CGGAGCAGACTAAAACATCACCCAGGAATCATTCAAAGCACGACATCCACATTCGCTCGATCTGCGTGGATGCGAATGCTTCAACGATGAGCTTGGCACCGATGACGACTGGGCTCTTCGACCGCGACTAGGGGGCGAGATACATCGACCGGTTAGCCTCTCGATCGCCCTGTTTTGAATGAAGTTGAATCCGAATGGCTGAGTATTGGGAAGAGGTCTGGGTATGAGTTATCTCGACTTTATCACCATGATATGTGAATCCTTTTCCCATATATTACATCAGTATATTGGTCCCTCCCCGAATTGATCGATTGTTTTGTATCTACAATATACAAGATGAACAAAGTCTCCCGTTGCTTGCGCCTGGAGCTCATGCGTGCTGAATGCTCTCGGAACCGTGCGCGAGATTTCCACGGTTCTGAGAGACGTTTCGACCGGACCCTCTAGGGGTTGTCCTCCTTGATCATGTCGGCGGCTTTCTCGGCGATCATGATTGCCGGCGCGTTGGTATTCCCTATGGAGCGGAAACGGGTCTTCGTAAGAGCTACTTCGAATCTCTCCGACCTCATTGGAATTTCATGGAGTACATCTTGAGGGCGAGCTCAATCAGAGTCGGAACTCACCAGACACAATTTTCGGCATGATCGATGCGTCGACAACACGTAAATTTCTCATGTTCTTGACGCGCAGTCTGGGATCGACGACCGCGGTCGGATCGTTCACCGCTCCCATTTTACATGTTCCCACCGGATGGTAGAGCGTGCTAGTGTAAGTGCGGGCGACGCATGCCAGATATTCGTCCGAGTACAGCTCGTAACCTTTGCATTCCGGGAAAGGTATATCCCAAAGCGTCGTGCCATATCTTCGGAAAGGCGGAGTTTTGATCAGCTCCATGCAGATCTTGATGGCTTCGACCATCGAGAGGATATCCTCTGGCGCTGTGAGATATTTCGGGTCGATGAGCGGGTGTTCGTAGGGAGATCTCGACCGCAGTTTGATGTAACCTGAAATCCGAACGTCGATTAGTAGCGAGCTGCGATTGCTCTCGAAGGATGAGTCTGAGCTCAAATCAGAAGGGAATCGAGGTTCGTACGGATCGGGTCACTCACCGACAGACTTCGGCCGCAGCATCACAGGATACAAGGAAACAGTATCCTCGTAGTTGTGTGGCTCGTACACGGATTCCCAAAGGCGTTGTTGGAGCCCGTTTGCGATTCGCAGGGTCTGACCACCGTCGGAAACTGGAGATCCCGATGCGAAATGAATTTCAAAATCTGGCCAGTCCTTCTTCGGATCGGCGTACTTCGTTTTGATGAAACCCAATCCTTCCACGCCTCCGAGGAGAGTTAGTGGTCCGGTAGCGTTGCCCTGATATGTTCGCAGAAGGTCCATGGTGAAGACTCTCGATTGTACAACGGAAACGGGGTCTCTGACCAGGAAGTTGACCCCTCCGGCAAATATGTGGTCCTGGAGATTCAGACCCACGGGGAGATCTTCGATGCACTCAATGCCGTGCTCGGCGAGGTGTTCTCGGGGGCCTGTAATGTGGACGCAGTCGCTCAGACCGTGTTTGTCGAGGGAATCGCTGATATTTTTCGAAACCGAGGGGATCACTCACCGATGCCTGAGAGCATTAGTAGCTGGGGTGAGTTGACAGCACCAGCGGACACGATAACTTCTCGGTTCACGTAAACCAGGGTCGGGACACCGAAACGATCGAAAGTCACGGATTCGACTCGTCGAGTATGCTTATTAATGTTGAGTTTAGTGGCCGTCGAAAACAACGATATGTGGAGGTTCGGTCGCTTCAAGACTGGTTCCAAGAAGGCTCTGGAGGTTGAGAGCCGCGCTCCACCTCGGATCGTGCCTTGCGGTACCATGAACCTGAATTCCCGAACAGAGAGCGAATAATTAAAATTTCCATCCTAAACACGAAGTACTGAACACGAAATTTTCCGGAACTTCTATGAATTCCTGCCAAGGCGGGGGCAGAAAGAAGGGGAGAGTGGGGGCGAGGGAGAAGGTTGGGGGAGGGCAGAAGAATTCGTTAAAATACTCACCCCGTACACTGAGCCCCGTTGGTGTCGGTCGAGGGATATCCGAGGTATTTTCCAGCGTCCACAAAAGCCTGCGCGAGTACCGTTTGGTATTTTGGTCTCTGTACGGTAAGATAACCACCTGGAAATTTCGAGTATCGTTATATTAGAAGCCTCATCACATGCCATGAGTCTATCCTGTCTTCCCGAACTTTTTCCAGAATGAGATCCTCATGATCCGCCTTAGGTCGACTGGTCGATTTGCGAGACTGGGAACCTCACCTTTTCCATGCCATCCGTTGTCTTTGATGTCCGGATCTCTGTTGTCCTCACTTTTGACGAAATATCTGAATACGTCGTTCCAAGACCATCCTTCGGCACCATGAGCTGCCCATTGATCGTAGTCTTCGTGACAGCCACGCACGTAAAGCATGTAATTCAAAACACTGCATCCTCCGAGAACTTTGCCTCGGGGCCAATAGCTCTGGCGATTGTCCAAGCCGAAGCAGGCTTTCTCTTGCGGCACGGTTAGATATTTCCAGTCGAGAGCAGACTTCTGCAACGTGGCCGCGAGGATTGGCACGTCCGACAACTGGTTTTCGGTACCGCCGCTCTCGATCAGGAGCACGCTCACTTTCGGGTTTTCGCTCAAACGACTCGCTACCACTGCGCCGGAGGATCCTCCACCTGTATCCGGAAACAATTCATAATTGAGGAGAGCCCCAAGGCGCTCCTTCGTTCGGGACGTCGCTCGCTCCGGAAGGAACTCGATGTCTCCCAATGAAGGGGAAATCTTAGGCAGAGAAGCTGAGAAATTGAAAGCCACTCACCGATCACCACGTAGTCGTAATTCAGATTCAGAGCATTCTGTTGAAACTCTATGTTCTCGTCGGCGAGTCGCGAAAACATCCCGGCCAGGAGCGGCATCATCCGAAGAACAATAGAGCGTGTTGCCATACTGGCGAACGTAAGCCTGTTCGCAGTTCAGTTCGGTTTCGAATCACCAACGAGCCTTCGTTCCTCACAGCTGTAGATGGTTTCCTCCACGTCGAATCTCCGTTCGTATACAAAGGAGAAGCTGATGGGCACGATGCGCGCCACACGTGCACGTTAGAAAGCTTGCACAAAAGGATCTTTTCGGAGACCAGAGGATCGGGGTGAGAGTGCCACCCTTGAAATGAGCCTTCATCGATTGAATTTTCTTGACCTCCTACATAGAACCTCTGTGGAGAGACCCCTGTGTATTCAGGGGAAGGTCGCTCTTGACCGGTTCTCTCCCCCTTTTTTCATTGACGTCCTCAGTTTCTGATTGCATTGCATGGTTCCCAAGAGAGCAAAGTCATTTATAGTTTCACCGATGCCCGTAGAAAATCGTTGGTGTTCTCGTAAACGATCCTGAAAAGCATGCTCGGAACGGAAGGCGATCGGGTGCCGCAGGTGATTCTCCGTCTGAAAATCGGTCGGACACTGATTTCTTGGAGGGAGCTTCACATCGAGGGACCCCCACTCTCAGGATTGAGGGTTGTCTCGCTCCGGTTCTTCGACGTTCCGAGTTCGAAAAGCGAAGCTGAGGAACCGCACGCGCAATGAAAAAAATGATGCGTGGCTCGCCTCATCGTAACCATCACCCGGTCCTCTGGTCCCGTCGAGCTCCAAGAAGCCGGAAACCCAAGCAGGCGAAGAGGGGCATTGATCAAGTCATCAATTGCGAAACTGGGTACTCAATCTTTCTCGGATGCTCCACAATTTCGAGAAGGACGTCTCTCTGTGAAGCCGAGCGTCGATTCTGCTGCAGTGAGCGATGAACCGCGTTTTCTGCTCATTCGAGCCTCCGACAACGAGCCTCGATCACGCGAGCTCCTCCAGGGTGTTTGTCTCAGAGTTCTTTTTTTTAGTTTCCTCATCATTCGTGTCTGTTCATATATTCATTCAGCTGAGACCATAGTCGAGTTGTTGAGTTTCTCTCATGTCATTGCCGATAAACATGAAAAGTAACACGGGGACCGGCCTTGACTTCGGAGCGAGCCTCTCATCTATGGATGTCCTAGGTATCTCAAGATTAGCCCGAATCAGGAGGGCAGGCTGGACGACTTCAAAGAGCGACGTTTGAAGACGCGATACCATGTCCCATTCGTTCCAACAATACGCCGAGAGTGTTCAGGAAAATTCTCCCGGAACGTTCTGCCCGATCCGGAACCTCCTTGAAAGGAGGATCCCAGCTCGCCGTCTCGCCTTTTCTCATCTCTGCTCCGCGGGTACTCTGGCACACGGAGGGGTAAACACTCTCGGGAGAGGCAGATCCCCCGAGAGACCGGACCGTAGAAATTCGGTATCCCAAACCCTGTGTTTGAGACCTCGCGGGTCACCGCTGATCCCTCTCCGATCGATTGCCGGGGTCTCTCTCTCGAGAGAGAGCGAGAGACACATCACTCCGAGGCTCCGATGTGTCCTCCTCACGCTTAACCTGCCAAAAATTACTCAGCTGTTCACCGAAATATATCCCTTGACTCCGAGCATGATTTGCTTTTCCATCGATATGTTCGCAGAGAAATCAGGAGCTGGTAATGGACTTCTGCATCAATTCGGTTGGGCTCGTAGAGCCTCGAGTGTTTGGCTTCTTCTTCGTTTCGGTGTTCCTTGATCAAAAATGAAGCAGAAAATTAAAACATCAAGCCGTCCGCCGTCCGAGTGCCGTTCATCGCACGTCTTCCCATCCTCCGGCTCTCATCTCTCCTCGTTTCGCATTCAATCTCACGCTCTTCCCACTAAAGACGTATTTTTCTCATAATTATCGTCGCCTGCATCGAATCGAATCGGGGTGAAATGAAGTAAACCGAAAAGGAATAAAATAGAATGAAGTGAGTGGTCGTCAATGCGTTACGCCTTCGATCTTCTCACCATAAAACATTCAAATTGCGTATGCTCCAGCAGTCGAAAGATCGATGCGAGCATAGAATGAAATAATCGAGAGGGAGAATTTATATATCGGCGATTAATTAATTTTCTACACGGCTCCGTCCACACGATATTCGTTGGAGCACTTGATGCCCGAATTTCTAATTTTGGATTCGCCTCGGAGCCGCGGGAGAATCCGCCGTTAGCATGGTCATCGCTCTCGGATTTCTAGATTGGAACGCTTCAGAACTTCCCGTCTCAAACTATCATAGGATGTGGATAGGAAAGAGGCAACTATCATAAGTTGAGTAACCAAGACCGACAATACATATAGCCTCCGAGCACCACTCCTCCCGAAACGTCTTCCTCGGTAATTAAATAGCGGCGCCAGATTAGATAAAATTAGGCATCTGCATGAAAGACTCCCAGAAATGGGAAAAAAATTCGAATGAAAAATGACAAGAATAACGACGGACTCGGTAACACACATCAGATGCATTTGAATATCTCGAAATTAAATCTTAATGGAGATAATCATCCTGAGCCAAGAGCTCGCTCATATCTCTCTACCTTTGAGTCAGCGAGACCCGAAATCAGGCGACTTTATTCCCCCGGAATGCGCTTCACATCCTCTCTGTATTGCGATACGAGGATTCCTTATTTTTTTGATGGGTAATTATCATTTGACGGAGCAGCCGAAACTTCCATGGTGGAAGATCTCTCGAGGGTGAAAATTCTCCAGAGATCATCAGCAATGAATCCCTATCCATTCGATCCAGGTTTCGTATTTCATACGGGTCGCTGCAAACACTTCGCTCGCTTCAAGCTCCTGGAACATTTTAAACCGGAGAACATTGTTCCGCCGAGACCGGCAACGTCCCAATTCGATTAAGTGAGACATCTTCCGCCACTGTGCTCCTCGCGATCCCTGCGGCCGCCAGCGATTTGAAGAAATAGAAGGAGTCGATATGAGGCGAGAAAAAGAAAAATGAGAGACAAAGAGAGGCCAACATCTAAAAAGAGGGAGTGACCGAGCGAGGCGACCACTGAATAAATTGGATTTTGAACTTCTTCTCTTCTCTGTTGCCATCCACCATCCAACGGATGAGGAATAGAGACACACGAAAGAGAGATAATCGCGACGAGAAGTGCTGTTGGAAGAGACCGGGAAGGATACCGACACGGGCCGGCGTCGTTCGCGGCAATCGAGCAAAGTATACCGAAAGCTGCTGTCGGCTTCAGGCCGGCGAGCCGACTGGTCGTTCAGACACTCGGGAGAGGGACCAGAAAACAAATTAAAAATTAGCACCTAAATTTTAATTGAGAAAGCGACAAAAACGAAATTGAAGAGCAGCGTATCCATCCATTCTTCTTTTCCGCTTCCCTCGTCCATCGCATCGCGCGCGTACTTTCCCCTCTGTATCTCTTCCCGGGGAGCGGAATGGGATGACTTTGTTCCCGAGGCTCCGACTGTGAGTACCACAGATACCTGTACATAAGATCTTCCATCTAAAGTCCGCCATTCACGAAGTCTATAACTCCGTTCTGACGTCGCGAGACCGCATTCAATATCCGCCCCCGATCGAAAGCGGATCGCCCTTATTTTCGATTCCTTCAGTCTCCTATTTGAATTTGAGAACTGGGGTATGATCTGACGTCAGTCGAGGAGGTTCTTTCCACGTAGGTATCTTAGAGATCCGGTGTTGGCATGGGCGTACGTATCGATCAGAATCTCAGACTCCCTCAGAGCCTTGAGGGAATAATTCATATGAGCGATAGCGTATTTCCGTCTGGATGAGTACTGCGAGATTACACATCTGACGTCAAATGGTCCGCCTCAATCAAGGTCGGACGCATCGACAAGTGTTGTCAAACCCCGAAGAAGACGGACATGGCTCCACGGCTTTCGGCTGGCTCAGGGCTCAATCGATGAGCATGAAGTCTGCGCGTGTTGTGGATCGCACACGTCGCTCCGTAGATTCCGACCGTGACGTACCGACCGGATCGCTCCGTCTTCTTCCAGCGTGTGGGTCTTCGTCGGAGGTGCGAAGACTTCCGCGGATTCATTCAAAGCATATCGGTCCTGTTCTTGCGCGCCCCGATTCTCGAGTATCGCTGATCCCCTGGAGTTCAATGCACATTCCCGTGGAAGATCTCCCCGACCACAGGTCACCGGTCGCGACTCGTAGGGCGCACGAGGAGGAGACGTAATCGAATTTCGGAAGGACGAAGAACGAAGATCGGATGTCCTCCGCGGATCGGAGGCACCGCCCGATCATCGGTCTGTTTCACCAGACGAAAGAAATTGGATTGGGAACAGAGAGCGAATTTATTCGAGAGGCGGAACGAGCTAGCCTGCATCATCGTTGGAATGCCTCAATCTCAGGCAAGGCAACCTTGTGGGGGAGTCGGTCCAGTCCCTCTCTCTCGACTCTGTCTCTGGCGTCTCCCTCGGTTATATTGGAAAACGGGATGTCTTACACAGATGGAGCACGCAATCGCCGGCGGCGATGCTGTCCATGGGCATTAATGAGCAATCTGTTCCATGAGCGGCTCATCATGCAGTCCCACAAGTGGACGGGATTGGTTCAGTACCTAGATCTGGCTCACGACTCCGGCGATTCCCCGACAAGGTTCGACAAGACTCCATCGATCGCTCTCAGTGCTTGATACTGAGCGACAAGCTTCGGTGGTGAGGGCTGGATTTCGCTGCTGGCGGCGGCAATTTGAGCGCGAAAACCATTTAGTTCAGCAACGTTTTAATTAAATTGTGTGAGAGAAATAGCCGGCCGCGAGAGAAGAAGAGTGAGACAGGAGCCGTGATGAAGGAAGCTCATGGGAGCGAGAAAGCGAGAGGTTTCAGTCAAGCCATCTACTCACAAACTGTTAGTCATGAACCGAAGCACAAATGAGGTCGGCCGTAGGCTCTCCGCGGACCACAGCGGTAGATCCAGCTGAATAGATGAACTTGAATCATTTTTCAGAGATGCATCATAAGAGGGACCGCGCGATGCTTCACGGATAGAGATCCGCCGGTCATGGACGAAGGTCTGAGGGAGGCAGCACCGAGATTGGACGTACACTTATTTTTCATCAATATGAAGGAATCGAGCTCGTCCATCTAAAAACGATTCCATCGCAGAGCT